TAATATTTTAATAATTTTAATACTTAAATTACATAAAAAATATATATAATGCTTGCTCAAAGCAACTTTCTCAAATTTGCTAATACATTCATGGCGAGCCCGTGACCCATTCGCCTCCTCCCATTGTTGGATCTGACGTAATTCGTTCACGAGTCAAGACACCAGTGGCCCGTTGCGCACATCATTGTACGATGAAGTTGACATGTAACACGATTTTTTTCCTTATTTCCCTTATTTATTTATTTTGCCTTTACCGTCCATTTTCTTTATTCATTATTTTTCTGTTCTGCACATTCTTTTCCTTTTTTTTTCTCAATATTACCAAAACAAGGTAAGAATATGAATTAAAAAGCTTTTAATTATGGTTTTAATTGGGTATGGATTTTTTTTTGTTTTTGTTTTTTTGTGGCGGAAAGACGTGGGGTTTTTGTGGTTTGAATAGAAAGAAAGTGCTACCTCAAATCATTGGATCCTTTTCCACTAAAAAAAATCAATGGATCCTTTGCGTTCCTGCTCTGTGAATCTCTCTAGGGTTTCTGAACTTCTCTCATCTTTGATTTCTCCCTCTGTTCGCAGGAATTTTCCAGGGTGGTTGCCGTTTGGTTTCCTAGAAAATTTTGGCTTTTTTCAGTGATCTTCTTTCTGGGTTTTCGTTGGTTTTCCTCCTTCCTTTGCACCTTGAAAGATGAAACCTTTCTATGGGATTATGGGCTGCTATTATTGATCTCTTTAAAATTGGTTTTCTTTGCACAAAGGCAGAAACTTGTTTGCTTTCCTAGAAAATTTAGACTATTTTCTTTCTGGGTTATCCTTGTTTTTCTCTTTTTTTTGTGAGCTTTTAAACCCTTGCTTTCTGGGTTGCCATTATTAATCTCTTCAAAATTTGTAATTTTTCTTTGCAAAGGTTGAAACTTGAGTAATAGCTACACACTGCGTGGCTACTCAAGATATATCTGGGGACTTGCTCAATTTTGGTGAGTATTTGTGTCATGTTTTTCTAAAAAAGGAAAAATGATTCTTCCGTAAAGTTACTAATTGACGTGGCTCTGATGATGAAGTGGAAGATGGTGAGAGGAAAAATTGTGATGAAAAGGATCGAGAATGCAGCAAATAGACTAGTGACCTTCTCCAAGCGTCGAAACGGGCTGCTTAAGAAGGCTTATGAGCTATCTGTTCTCTGTGATGTCGAAGTTGCAGTTGTCATCTTCTCTCAAAAAGGAAGACTTTATGAGTTCTCAAGCTGCGGGTATGCTCTTTTTGATTATACTAACAAAGTTATTCAATTGATTATTTCTTTTTACCATATATGTTAATCATTTGAAAGATTTTGCAAGTTTGTTTTTTGTTCCTCTTCCATAAATTGCTCATTATGTGGATCTGTACTTCCTCAGTACCATTAGGAAATCTTACTATTTGTTTTGATTTTTTTTCTTCCTATTTGTCTTTAAGTTCATTTCTTTTGATGAAATATCAAGAATGACTCACATGATATGCTTTGCTGCTGGAGCAAATCCATTTGGGTGCATTTTGCCTTTCTCAAACATGTCTATTAGGGTTTGCAAAAGCTTTACTACGAGGAACTAGAAACTGTAATTCTAGCCTTTAGCCTGCCACCATTTCAATTTACATGATGATTATTAGAAATTAAATCTCACGCTAGTTTAGTAATTTTCCTTATATATATATATATATATATA